CAAGAGAAGAAGGGTCGATCTCGTTTCCATAAACGTCGGCGGCAGTTTCTGAAACTGAAGGAAGGAGGCCTGCTTTCCAAGGTCATCCGGGAGGCCACGTAGGGTTTGGAGAACGAGCTGATTTTCGGTGACCGGGGCGTCCACATCATCTAACCAATCCGCGATATTCTGAAGAGTTTGACAGTAAGTTTGAATGGTGGACGTGCCTTTGATAGTATTGTAGAATTGGTGCTCCAATTGCATTGCTCTGGCTGCCTTGTTGTCATGAAACAAGTTATGTATGGCTTTCCATAAATCTGCCGCGGATGTAGTGGAAGAGATGATGAGATCAGAAACCTCATCGTTGACGGTTGAAAGAATCCATCCTTGAATGAGAGCGTCGAGTTGAAGCCATTCAACATCATCTTTTCCGGCAGAAGTTTTCTCACCGGTGATGAAACCTTCGAGATTGAAGCGTCTGACCATGAAGAATTATATAATTCCAATGATCCCTTTACAATATATTCACCTCCCCTTATATACATGTAGGAGGGTTAAGAATAAGGAAGCTGACATTAATGAGAGATCCTATACAATATGGAATCTACCATAAATAATAATAATATTAAATATGTAATATAACTTGACATATTTAACACCCACGAAATTGCTCCATCAACTTCGTTCCAGTACTTATGCTTCGAGTTGTCCCTCATTACCGTTGATCGCTTGCGGGGATAATATGATGAAATAAATATTCAAATTAATTACTTTTCTTATTTAATTGCTTCCATGATTCTTATTCTACTCAGGTGATCATAATGATTTAATAAAACCAATTATATATTACTTCCTCCGTCTCTAAATATTTGCCACATTTGTATTTCCGAGGCAAAATATCAAGTTTTTTCAATTCATTTTATTTACATATTGGTATAAAAATAAAAAATAAAATTTACATATCAAAAAACTACATGAAAAGTTCTTCGAAATAAGAGGTGTCAAGAATATTTTATTTTATCAAATAACCAATGAAAACATAGAAATAAACAAAAATTCCCGCGATTGTTGAAAAAGCTAATGTTGCAAATATTTTGGGATGGAGGGAGTATCAAATTGTATGAACTATTCAAAAAATGTATTTGGGGAACAATTCAACCATTTTTTAATAACTCAATGCAACACATTCTCATGTAATATTGTTCCTCGTTTAAGTAAAATTGCTATTTTCATCTAAAGTTGTTCCTCGTTAGGCGAATTCGGCCACAACAAACATTATATGGTGTTAGGTTATTATATATTCCAACTAAGGAAGGCACCATATTGGTGGTGCCAGCTTAATTCATTAATTAACACACGTTTATGCTCCAAATTAGTGAAATTTGTAATTCCATCTAATTTCGTTAATGTCTTGAATTTATTTATGATATGATGTTTCCCAAGATGGAAAACCAATACGTACTAAAACTCCACAAAGTATGATAGGGCGATTTATATCATGAGATGTGACTCATGGGAGTAGAGTGAGTACGGATTTTGGCTTGAAAAATGCTAGGGTTTGGTGTATCCCATTTGTCCCCCACCCCTTCCATTACCACATAAATGGGCAAGAACTTTAAAAAAATTAAATAAATAAAAAGTAGATAAAAATGGGTGGTGGAGAAGGAGGTGGGGGACAAATGGGGTACACCTTTGGTGACATCATTATTACAGGGAGCTCCTCTGATCTCATCTCTGCTGTTACTCAGGCTATGCATAAAAATTTTCGCCTCAAAGACTTGGGCCCTCTAGATTTCTTTCTTGGCATTGAGGTTCGTCGCTCTGCAGATTCTATCTTGCTTCATCAGACAAAATACATATTTGATCTTCTTCAGCGGGCTGGCATGACTGATTGCAAACCCGCTGTCACTCCGATGGCGGCGCGGCCAACCCAGGAGATCTCGTCCACCTTCTCCGACCCAAAATTGTTCCGTAGCCTTGTGGGTGGTCTACACTATCTTGCGGTGACTCGCCCTGATATTCGGTATGCTGTAAATCGAGTTTCTCAGACCATGCATAATCCTACAGAGAAGGATTACTTGGCCCTTAAACGTATTCTTCGCTACTTGAAGGGTACTTCTTCTCATGGCCTTCTGTTCAGAAAAGGCTCTCTTGATCTTGCTGTTTATTCTGACTCTGACTGGGCTAACGACAAAGATGATCGTCGTTCCACCACTGGGTATCTCTTTATGCTGGGGCCGAATCTTATCTCATGGTGCACAAAAAAACAGACTCGCGTCTCGCGCTCCTCCACCGAAGCTGAGTATCGCGCTATGGCCGCGGGGGTGGCAGAGGCGATGTGGCTTCGTTATATTATGGATGCTCTGCATGTTCCGCCTACGAAACCTAAGATTTATTGTGATAATGAGTCCACAATCTGTGTCACCAAGAATCCCGTTCTCCATGATCGCATGAAGCATGTTGGCACTAACTGTCACTTTGTTCGAGACGAGGTTATGGCTGGCACTATGACTACACATCATGTTCCTTCTTCTGAGCAGCTTGCTGACATCTTGACAAAACCGCTTCCGCAGACTCCGTTCCATTATTTGTGTTCCAAGCTGCCCCTCGTATCCGTTGATCAGCTTGCGGGGGGATAATATGAAGACTCCTAATATTATTTAGTTTCCTTATTCTTGTATTACCATAATTACTTTATTCCTTTCCTACTAGGAATAGGACTCTCTCTTGTAATCCCTATATATAGGAACATATCTCTCAATATTCAATAAGACAAATTATTATCAAATTGTATCACCTAGCATTGCTCTTTTGGCTTTAATATTTAGGGAAGATGCCAGGGGTACACTAAAGGTGTACCCCAAATGTACACCACTTGTCTCTACATCATTCATTTTATTTATTTTTTATTTTTTATTTTTTTTAATTTTATATGCCTTTTTTTGTGGTTATGGAGGGGGTGGGGGATATTTGGGGTACAATTTTGGTGTACCCCTAGCATTTTCCTAATATTTAGGTTATACAAATGAAAAATGGTAGGGGTGCACCAAAGGTGTACCCCATATGTCCCTCACCCCCTCCTTGTCCACATAAATTGGCAAGAAAATCAAAAAAATAAATAAATAAAAATTAAATAAAAATGGGTGGTGGAGAAGGGGGTGGTGTACATTTGGGGTATACCTTTGGCGTACCCCTAGCATTGCTCTATACAAATATATAGAATTGAATGTTGAAAGAAACCATTGAAAGAGATGAAAAAATTAGAAGATGTCGGAAGAAATTGGAAGACATACGAATGAGATGTAAAGATAATAGATGTTTGAGTTCCCACATTGAAAAATAAAGAAGAATATCAGTATCATATATAGAATGGTGAAATCCTACCTATTAGCTTAAGCTTTTGGGTTAGTAAGTGGATTTCGATTTTATATGCAAATGGTTAATTTTACCCAACGTTATTCCCCTTGTTCTCGGCCCATCAAAATTTTAACAGGGTATTAGAGCAAGTCCGGTCCGAGTTTGGTTCGTCTTGGTTGTTGGACGTGGGTTTAGCCAAATGAGCTACCCATCCGTAGTTTGGATTGAGTTAAATTAGCTAAAAGCGATTGAGATGCCACTACCTGTTGTGTGGGCTAGCTATAAGAGATTGAGATGCTATACTCGTTTGTCCAAGTGCTATCTAGGCCAGGCTACTTACCACTTGAAGAGGAGTGTTGGATTTTCTACATCGAAAAATAAAGAAGAACACTACTAGTATATATAGAAGGGTGAAACCATACCTATCAGTTAAAGCTTTAGTGTTAAAAAATGGACCTTGTCTTTATATATATGCAACTTGTTAATTTACCCAACACTCTTTCCATTGTTCTTGGCTCATCGGAATTTCAATAAATTGAAAGAGAATGGAAGAATTTGGAAATAAACTTGAAGGTGATGGAGAATGTTAGAAAAAATGTGAAAATTGTTGGAACAGATAATAGGGTTAAATTTGTTTTTAGTCCGTGTAAAATATGCAATTTTTGTTTTTGGTCCATGCAATTTTTTTTGTTAAGATCAACCCTAAAAAGATTCATTTTTAAAATCTATACTTTATTTAAAGCGAGTGGAATTTTTTTCCCGCCTAAACGTGAGAGAAATAAATGAAAGTTTTGTGCGTGTTACTTAATTGCATTTATTCTAAGCATTAATATTGTTAAGCATTACTTAATAAGGACTATATTACCATTTTTTGTTGGGAGAATACACAAAAAATGTCAAAGTAATGTATAAAAAGTGTGTGTTACTCGAGTAACATGTGAGTAAGCATTAATATTATATTGGTAAGCATTAATTAAAAAGTACTCCATCCGTCCCAAAAAAATTTACACCTTTCAAAAAAATTGCGTCCCACAATCTCCTACCCATTTCTATTAAAAAACCACTTTTACCCCTTACTTTTTCAAATCCTACCTATCACATCATACCTTTTTCCTAATAATCTACACATCACATCCTACTTTTACCCATCACATCAAGGGTATTTTTGGAAAGTCAACACAAAATTATCCCTCCCTTAATTTCAACTTTAGTCAAAATGTGTAAATCTTTTTGGGACGGAGGGAGTATTATGTTTCCATTTTTTGGTTGGTAGAATACAAAAAAATAATATATGGTGTATTTCAATGTTTTTCCAATTTTTATTAAAAGGCTAGGTTGATTACTACTTCTGATTTAAATACAAAAATTTAAAAAAATACAAATTCTAAAATCAATACAGTTTTTTACATATCGGTAAGCATTAATTAATAATTACTATGTTTCTATTTTTTGGTTGGGAGAATATAAAAAAATATTGTGTATTTCTATGTTTTCATTTTTTTAAATAGGCTAGCCTGATTAACATTTCTAATCTTAATGCAAAAATTAAAAAATATTTACAAATTCCAAAATCAATAAAGAAATTAGATTTTTCCTACATATTGGTAAGCATGAATTAATACGGAGTAATTACTATGTTTCCATTTTTGGTTGGGAGAATATAAAAAAAGTGTGTATTTCTATGTTTCTATTTTTATTAAAAGGTTAGCCTGATTACTATTTCTAACCTAAATACAAAAATAAAAAATAATATTTACAAATTCCAAAATCAATAAAGAAATTAAACTTCCTACACATTGGTAAACATTAATTAATAATTACTATATTTTTATTTTTTGGTTGGGAGGATACAAAAAAATATTGTGTAGGCATTAACTTTTGTAAGCATTGATTCATAATTTTTGTTATGTTTCCATTTTTGGTTGGAAGAATACAAAAATAAAATTACGTACCAATAAGTTTCCATTTTTATTAAAACGCTGGACTGACTAGGCAGATTCCGAAAATAAAAAAGTTAAAAATTCGGAAATAGAAATTAAATTTTTCCTACTAAAAATTCGGAAATAGAGATTCTCAAGCTCTTTTCGTAATTACCCTCTTTGAACTGTGTTTTCAATTCTCAAACTCTTTTCGCAATTACCCTCTTTGAACTGCGTTTTCAATTCTACCTTTCAAGTATCATGAGGTTGTTAACAGCTGTAAAAAATATTGATGAGACGTCCTCGATTTTGATGCTTAAATTAAGAGCGATAATATTTTATCATGTCCCGGTCCATGTTAGGGGCCCGAATCCCTAGATGTAATTTTTCATGATTTAGAGGTTAGTTGTTTCATTAAAATGAATCTAAATTATGTATACATTCACAACCTAACGTTGTAATAATGCTAATATGTACTTTTTCATTTTCATTGTCAAGGAGATCGAGTACATGCGTAGATCAGAGATTCGAATATACGCACTTTCAAAGAAAAATTGAAAGAAGATAATGTTTTTTTTACTGATGAGAGTCAAAGTACTACGCAATTACCAAACAACGAAAACTACCAATCACCCTTTTATGCTACATACAATTCTTTGGCACGACGAAACTTCGATCAAGAGATTTCAGGAATCAGACTTTCGAACTTTTATTACAAATTTATGGGATTTGAAGAAATTCAGAAATTAACTTTTGGTGACAATGTGCTGTTAATTCGTGCGATTGTCTCCAACATTGGATGTCGTCAATTCTATCGATGAGTATAGGACAACAATGAATCCTAGCAGTGAATCTCAAACATATCTTAGTTCCGACAAGGTAGAGAATTCGAACTATAATTCAAGTTTTTTGAGTGACTTACACAGTTACACTCTCCCAAGATATTAAATAAGATTCGTGCTTCTAAAGTACCAAATCATGAGTTTTCTTTGAAGGTAGGCACACATATTATGTCGTTGAGAAACATTAATCATTCATTAGGTTTATGTAATGGTACACGGTTTCGTTGATAGTAACTTGGTTGGCTAATCACTCAATATAAGGAAATATATTATTTGGAAGACACATGGGCAAAGAATTGTTAATCCAAGACTATCATTGACACCATTCGATATAAGAATTCAATTTAAGTTTCAAAGAAGACAATTCCAGGTGGTTACTTCATACGCAATGACAATTAACAAGAGTTAGGGTCAATCTCTGAAATATGTTGGATTATTGTTACGTAAACTGGTATTTACTCATAGGCAACTGTATGTTGCATTTTTAAGAGTAACAAATCGTAATGGCTTAATGATTCTGATATGCCCCGAAGATAATATTTCCACAAGTTGTACGAGTAATGTAGTTTATAAAGAAGTTTTTTGAAATTTGTAAATCAATTAACTTAATAACTTGTATACCTTAAAATAATAAAATCTCAATAATACATTAGATGCCAATTTGTATCTTTAAAAAATGATCTTAATTTGGATAACTCATTTATTTCATGCTCAATATCATAGTTTTCTGTTTCTAATTACTTTCGACATAATTTTCATGCCCTAAATTGTTTTTGTATCAATATTATATTTCTAATTTTCAGATTTCTTAGAATGTGATCGATATAACAAAATTTGTTAATTATGTAATTCGATGAAGAACATAATTTAGGGCATGAAAACTGTGTTTGATATAATTAGAAATAAAACACTATGATGTTGAGTACTAAATACATGTGCCATCTCAACCTATTAGAAATTTTAATTACGTTTAAGAAGCATTTTCAAAATAAAAGAATTTGTGAGAATGACTTGAACAAAAAAAATTACAAAAACCAAAAACGAAATGTGCATGTTTTACAAAGACTAAAACCATATTTAACCCTAAATATTACTATACATATTTTTGAATTTTCATATAAATGCTCTCACAATAATTTATTTCAAATTCAAAATACACATGATTGTATTAATTAGAAATAGATTCCTCCGTCTTATTTATTTGAAAACTGCAAACAAATTTCACACGGATTATTTGTTTACTGGCTTAATATTATACATGTGGAAACCATGCCAAATATTTTACATTACATTTGTACCTAGTTTTTCAAAGTTCATTCCGGAGTTGATCGGTGTTGCAAAAGTTTTTGACCCATGTACCTGCATATTATTACAAAATAAATTTTTTAGATACGTGCATGAAAAAGGGAGTAAAACTTTCATCAAATACTAGACTCGTTATGGTCTACATGCATGGATTGACCTTCTCACAAATACTATATTTTTTAATTTTAAAAATATATATTCAACACTTGAAAATGCTTATTTAGTACTCCCTCCGTCCAAGTAAGATGTTCTCAATTTGACTTTTCACGGATTTTTAGGAGTGTTAAAAAGACTCGTGACTTTCCCAATTTGCCCCTCCTTGCCTCTGACCAATTAACTCGTTCTTTGTTACCACCGCACATAACCTCCCCACCACCGCCGTGCCACCGCCATCATCCCCACCATCGTCGCCGCCATCTTCATTCCCCCATCGTCACCACCGTCCTCAGCCCTGCCATCGCCGCCACTGCCCTTACCCTCACCATCGCAGATCTAGACAGCGTAGAAGAAGAAGAATACGGAGGAGAAGAAGAAGAAAGAGAAGAAACGAGAAAGAGAAGAAAAACAAAGAAAAGAAGACAAGAAAAAGAAGAAAGGGAAAGAGAAGACGAAATGTGACAGACCAGCGGACGAAATTGGGGAGAAAGAAATGAAGAAAGAAAAAAGAAAGAAGTAAGAAAGTGGCAGACGAAATTGGGGGAAAAAGAAAGAAATGGAGGAGGGGTGTTTAAGGTATTTTGTGTGTTAAAATATGTAATGAGAAGATCTATGGCGAACAAATAAAAAGGGTTAATGAGAAGATGTATGAGGGACGGAGGGAGTATATATGAAGGTCCACCATGAATCTTAAGTGCATGTAATAATTTACCAGTATTTATGGTCTTAATGATATACGGAGAATGTGCGAGTGGTCTGGTTTTAAAACAATGCATTCACACATACGTACAATATTGGTTGGATTGCTCGCAATCTACCGTAATATATATACCGTCCAACCAGTTGTACGGTATTTCATGTACATCCGCATCAGCGAGTACTCATTTACGAGTAATTGAACACTTATTTTCAAGCAAATGAATACTCATTTTCGAGTAATTATATACTCATTTTTATAAAATTCAGTTATGCTTGAAAATGAGTATTTAGTTACTCGAGAATTAGTACTCTGATACTCGAAAATGAGTATCACTCGAAAATAAGTATTCATATAGATGTACGTGAAATACCGTGCATTCCGATGTATGGTATAGGTACTCCGCAATCCCCGCATCATTGGTTTACGATGTTATAAAGATTTAAACTATATACTCTCTTTGTCCTAGAATTATCTTCTTGTTTGTTTTTTGTCAACATTTTTTAACTGACCATAAAATCTGAAAAAAAATATATTGAGTAATAATATAAATTTAATATGAATAGATTCTTGGTGAAATAAAGTTTTAAAATATCATATTTTTATAATATAAAATTAAATATAGATAAAGATATTAATGGACAAAGTAGCGGATTGGAGATAGGAAAAAAGCAAACAAGAAGATAGTTTTGAGACAGAAAAACTATACCGTTATTTTTTAAGTAGTGAGATTAGAGTATAAAATCTTTTTCTTCCGTACGTCTTACAATCAAAAATCTATACTTGTGGTTGAATTGATTAATTACTCGACGTATCAAGAGTTTGCTAACTTAGATGTCATGAATTTAAACTGCAATATCACCTAGTTATAAGAAGTTAATTACTCTCTCCGATCCATCTCTTCCCAAATTGACTTTTTCACGCAATTTAAAAAGAGTTGAACAAATAATGTACATGTACATTCTATCCTTAATGAAATTGGGTGAGGAATAATATCTGGATTGGCTATTTATGATAGTATGCAAGTTGTACGACCAGATACCGGAATGATTGGGCGTAAATAAGGAAAGTGAAGGTAGTTGTGTTATTTTAAATTTTAAAAATAGATAATGAAAAACTTTTTTTGGGACAAAAAAGACATTTGGGAAGAACTACTTACTTTTTTGAACGGAGGGAGTAACATTGACGTGTAAAACTAAAAGAAAAAACAAATATCTACCTCCTTCACGCGAGGGGCATTTTTTAGACTATTGAAATATTTCCTAAATATATACAGTATGCAATTACAAACTTGAGTGAGGTAGAGATTGAGTTGGCTCCTTGAAAAAATTACCTTCCCAACATCATGACAGTTGCTTGAAGATTAGTTCCTGGGGAGCTAGAAAATGTGGAACCGTCAATTACTCGCAAAGCATCAATGCCGATCACTTTATAATCATGATCGACTACGCTATCCACTCGACACCCACCGTGAAAAAGCAATAGAGTAATCACATTGTCCATGCAAAACTGCTCCAATGACGCCGTCTTGAGGCGGTGTTTTGGCCTCTCGTTAATGGGAATTGCTGACACCAAGTCCAAGAGAGATTCAAATGTAGTTGATGGATTTCGCAAAGAAGAAAAAGACTCTGACTCGAAGACTTTTCTAATGACTTCCATGCCGCGTACGCACGTCTTGAGGTCCCTCGAGTCTTGAAAGTAGTTAAAGGTGACCATTGGGTTCTCATTTGGATCCTTGTTTCTAAGCTCCATATGACCTTGGGAGAAAGTTTTGTTCACTTTTGAAAATAAAAACCCACCCTGCGTCTTCATATCTGGAAAAGACATGTTGACGCCAGCTTGCATGAGGACTTTGATGGCTTCGGGGACCAAAGACAATCCACTAACTGTTTCAATGTAATTTCCTGAATCAGTTATGCCCACGACAGTAGAAAATGAGGCCTCCACTGGCCTAATGGATGGAATTAGGATTCCATTCAATGGGAGGTCGGCCATGTGTTGCCCAACCATTTGTTGGTCAATATTACATCTATACCATGGGCTTTGAGATGATCTGACGGCCCTACACCACTTAGCATCAGTAGTTGCGGGCTTCCAAACACACCGGCGGAGAGAATGATCTCATTGTCGGGCCCTCCATTCAAGAACGCTGTGTGACCATTCCCTTTTGAGTCTTTGAAAAAAACCCCATAGGCTCTGGGTTTCCTCTCTGCATTGTGTACATACAACATGAGAGGTTTTGTTTTTTAAGAGATTTAAGGAAAATGTATTTTGGTGTTGAATTTCCAAAAATATCCCTGAATGTGATGGTAAAAGTATGATTTGATAAGTAGATTAATAGTGAATATATATGATGTGATAGGTAGATTAAAAATTAATAAGGGCAAAAGTGACTTTTTTATAGAAATGAGAAATTTTTTAGGAACGGATGAAAAAAGAAAGAAGAAAGGTTTTCTGTGACTTTTTAATAGAAATGAGACGATGTATCTAATATGCTTTGATCATATTTTGAAACATTCTTAGTTAGACTTCGGGTAGGATAGGTTTGTAATGTTTACTGCTAGGATATTAGTTGAGAAATTGGTGAAGGCTAGAGAACTTCACTTTTGACACCAAAGTTAAATACAGAAAATAAAAGACATTTCCACATAGAACAAATATAATATGTGTGCGCTTTTGGTGTCAAAAATGAGTTTGCCAAGCTTTGCCCTGAACAATTATTGTCAAAGTTGAATTCTTTTGTCACGACTTATATTAAAATATATCGAGTTATGATTTAAGGTAATTTACCTTAATAGGACTAAAACATAATGACTTTCTTAATATAGGATTATATGTTTTTATTTCCCAATGTAGGACCATTGGTCATTATCTATTAGTCATTATTCAACTAAATGTCCAGCATCACTTGGACATTATTCTTCTCACTAGTCGTTATTAAGTCCTATTTAGGGAATAAAAAAGTTTAAGTCCTACTTTGAGAAATGACTTACTACCTCCGTCCCAAAAAGATTTACACGTTTTGACTAAAGTTGAAATTAAGGAAGAGATAATTTTGTGTTGACTTTCCAAAAATACCCTTGATGTGATGGGTAAAAGTAGGATGTGATGTGTAGATTATTAGAAAAAAGGTATGATGTGATAGGTAGGGTTTGAAAAAGTAAAGGGTAAAAGTGGTTTTTTAATAGAAATGGGTAGGAGATTGTGGGACGCAATTTTTTTGAAAGGTGTAAATCTTTTTGGGACGGAGGGAGTATATTTTAGTTCTATTCAGTGCAAATTTCACTATGATTTATACTCCCTTCATTTGAAGAATAATACTCGTCTAGTTTGATTTTTTTAAAGTCAAACTAGAAGATATTTAATCACCAATACATACTTTGATTAGCTTCATTGCATATAAACTATACTAGGAAAAAAAATCACTGGTCATTGTTCAAGTAAATGTCCTGTGCCACCGGACATTGTTCAAATTAAATGTCCACCATCATTAGACATTATTCAAGTACTATTTAGAGAGTAAAAAAGTTCAAGTACTATATTAAGAAAAGATATACGGAGTATGTTTTAATAGGGAGTATTATTTAGCGCAAATTTTACAATTTCAAAATAATACTATACGTACCCATCTCCAAAGTCCAAATGAACGTCGCCATTGTCCAATATAATTGTAAATATTAAGACTAAGAGAGAAGGGAAGAATGAATATACCTAGTGAAGGGGTTTTGAACAGGATTTTGTGAACCAGAGCATGGTAATAGAGAGTGATCTTAGTGTCATCGGCATACTCTAACAAATCCGCAGCACTGTGTCTATATCCATTCTCATCAAATATGGAATTCCCTATTTTGGTCCCCACCAAGTGCTCATAAGTTCCTCCGTTGTACGGCACCACCCCGGCCTCCACCAACCCATCCTTCACCGCCGCCTGCCACTGCAACAAAGTTTTCGGCCGAAAAGTCAACTTCCTCTCCACCCACATATACGACTGGTTGACTAGATGAGGGTCCCACCCCGCCTCAACCACCTCCCCGCCGCTTGCCCTCGAGTAGAACCCCAAGTTGATGGCGGATCCGCCGCCGAGAACGCGGGCCCGGCTTAGCCACACGCCATCCTTGGACAAAAACAACTGTGCTGCTGAGTCAGGCGATGACGTGTCATAAAACCTGGACACCAAACCGCTTTGGTGTGTTATGTTTGGGTTGCCGTACGGCATGCCGCCTCTCTCTAGGAGGGGCACCTTTGCGGAGGCGGATAGCGTCGCCGCCAGCGCACATCCAGCAGTTCCGCCTCCAATGACTATGTAGTCGTAATGTCCTGCTGACGTAGATGCTGATGTGGCATCTTTTGCAAAGGAGTTGTATGGGGCTAATAAATGACAACGATGTGAGTATGAATATTGTTGTCTTTAATACGTCACGATAATTTCATTTTCATCAATATTACTCCCTCCGTCTGGAATTGTTCTTCCCGTGTTGACTTGGCACGCTTATTAAGGAATAATAAAAAAATGTAAAATTTTCAAAAATGCACATACTATAAACTTTTAAATCTCCTTTTATTATTAAAAAAGTATTAAAAAAGTAAATTTGTGATAAAATACAAGGGTTTTATTGATATTTAGCCTTAAAAAGCATACTAAAAAAGGAAATGGGAAGATTATTTCCGGACGGACCAAAAAGGAAAATGAGAAGAATATTTTCAGACGGAGGGAGTATTTTTTTGCCTGAAAAAGACCACCCGAAAGGGTGGGATGGAGTCCGGGGAGTCCCTACCAAGTTTATTAAGAATAAAAACAAGTTGCTAAATTTCATCGTTAGTCCTTCAAACTAATGTAATATGTACGTAGAGTTAGTTATTCAACTGTAAAAAGTTCATGAATAGTCATTCAAGTCATGATAGCATTGCACAGTCAACCCTTCTGTTAATTTTTCTATTAATTTATGAATTTTAATTTTTTTCCATTTTCTAATATTAATACATGTGAGGAACCATCTTTTTTCATACAAGGAAGCCATATTTCATCTAAGTCCATTTTTAATAATAAGTTATTCTTATAAATGTTATTATGTCTAATTTCTTTTAATAACAATAAGTTACTCTTGTTTTTAATGGTCTAATTTTTATAAATACTCTTTCTGTTCTAGAGTGCGTGTCAACATTCGAATTTTCTAAAAACAAAGTGAGTATTAATTTTTCTCAATAAAATTCTAATTGAAGTTATTGGTCAAAAACTAACTCTAATTGATTGCATAAAGTTAAAACTAGGCAAACACTATCAAGGTTTATCTTTGATGTACTCCCTCCGATCCGTCCCTTTAAACATGAGATGTTTTGATTTTGAAGAGATTTAAGGGAAGTGTATTTTGGTATTGAATTTCCAAAAATGTCCTTTGATGTGATGGATAAAAGTAGGATTTTATGGATAAATTATTAGTAAAGAGGTATGATATGATAGGTAGGGTATGATAAAGTAAGGGGTAAAAGTGACTTTTTAATAGAAATAAGAAGTGTTTTTTGAGACGGATGAAAAAAGAAAGGACAAAGGTTTTCAGGTATGGAGGGAGTATAATTTCAACTAACATTGTATTGGGAAAAATACTCCATTTTTATGAAAAGCCAAAAATTTGGCACACACCTTATTTTTGGCTTTTCATAAAAATGGAGTATTTTTATGACGCAAATACTACGGTCAGATAACTCAAAGCCCACCACTGACAACTGCAAAGCTCCCCAAGAACAACTACAAAACTTACTTACTTATAAGGCAAAACTCACCATATTTTTTTAGCACTTTGAATTTTTAAAAAAAAATAAAATCAAAGGAATGGGTGTTGACTAGATTCTGACCGTTGACTGTCGCCTGCCGCCTACCGCCACCATCTACCGCCGGCCTCCGTCGTGCCTCCTGCCGCCGGCTACCGCTAGTCACCGCCGCCCTCCGCCGGTCGCCGCAACCGTCCACTTCCAGCCGCCACCACCTGCCGCCAGCCTTCGCCACCGCGACGCCACCTGTCGCCGGCCGCCAGACGCCGCTGTTGACCGGTGGTTGACCGGTGTTCCTATAATATTTTTAATTTATTTTTTAATTTTCAAAATTAAAAAAAGGTGAGTTTTTGTGTTCAAAGTGGTGAGCTTTGCTATATTTTCAAGTGAGCGTTGTATTGGCTATTGTTGAGCTTTGTAGTGTAATATGGTGAGCATGACGTCATCTCACTGAAACATGTCATCTCACTAGAAGATGTAATCTGGCTGGAGTATATGTATGTATGTATGTATGTATGTATGTATGTATGTATATATATATATATATATATACACATATACATACATACATATATATATATACATACATACATACATGAATCTAAGTATGTATGATGGATAGATTGGCCTACCTTTCTCTGCTAGAGAAGATACAATAACTAAAACGAAAATTCCAATAGAAGGTGCAACAAAGGGAAAGCACCTCCCGAAGGCCATGATAATATATGTGATGAACCCAATATGACAACACAAATAATGCTACATACACACATGCATTTAATGACTCTGATTTCTTCTTGTCATTTTTGGATCAGAATAGTTTTCCTTAACGTGTAATGACTGATTGTATTTATAAGAGAAGAGTGTGAATAGGCGATCAGATTAGGCAAATTCTTGTATAGTATTTGGTGCCCGCATGAGTAGCTTAACTGGTCCAATTCAAGGAGAGGATGTCAAACTCGTTGATCCTAGGGTTGAATTGCAGCAGCGGCAGTGTGAGAGTTCTATAATTTGTAATAGTTTATTGTGTGCACTGGGCACGGAGCGACCTCTCTAGAGACCAAATTGAGATTATGTTAGCGTAGTATATTTGTAATTATTCGTTTTTCATGTATTGGGCCATGTACATTATGGGCCCGTAGCTAGTATACTCCGTCATGTATATATACTTCCTGTGACACATGGAAAACACAAGTTTCACGTCCAATAATTTCTACATGGTATCAGAGCAGGTTTTGGCCCACCTCGTTTGTCAAGGTCCGTCTAGACGTTCATTCCTAGCGGCCCGTTTGTCTTTAGCCCAGTTGTCCGTATGGAGTGTGTACCCAACGGCCTGTGGCCTATTTAACACGATTGCTCGTCTGGAAGTCCATACCCAGCGGCTCGTGGTCTTTAGGTGTTGGCGCTCAAAAAAAAAGTCAAGGGATTGGGAGTTCATTTACAAGTGGTCAACCGGTTAGATTCAAAATGGCCCGGTTGTCCACTTGAGGGGGAGTGTTAGAGTTAATCGTATCCCACATCGGAAGTTGAATAGAAAAGTTATCGGTATATAAGGTATTGAGTTGAACTAAGTAATCGATTGGATTCAATCTTTTAATGTGGTTCAACCCAAGTGTCTTATTGATGAGGCCAACCTGCTTGGTTTCAAGCCTGTGGACACTCCATTACCGGTTAATCATAATTTGGCTCGATCTACCAGTGCTGAGATTCGTGATCCTCTGAAGTATCGTCGTCTTGTGGGTCGCTTATTGTACCTGACCATTACTCGTCCGGATATTTGTTATGCAGTTCACACTCTTTCTCAGTTTATGCAGGCGCCCCGTCTCGATCATTGGAATGCGGCTCTTCGTGTCCTCCGTTATCTCAAGGGCTACCCTGGTCAGGGTATTTTGTTGCGCAGTGATAGCAATCTCGCCCTCACTGCCTTTTCTGATTCTGATTGGGCTAGTTGTCCCCTCACACGCAGATCTGTCACTGGTTATTTCATTTTATTGGGTGGCTCTCCAGTCTCATGGCGCACAAAGAAGCAGACTACAGTTTCTCGATCTTCTGCAGAGGCTGAGTATCGAGCTATGGCAAATGCTTGTGCCGAAATCCGTTGGTTGCGTGGGATCCTGGCCGCCTTAGACGTTCATTGTGTAGCGACTCCTCGTTTATATTGTGACAACAAGTCTGCCTTGTTCATTGCCGCTAATCCAGTATTTCATGAGCGTTCGAAGCATATTGATATTGATTGTCATATAGTCCGGGAATGCCTTCAGCGCAATCATATTGTCACCGCTTATGTTCCTACGCGTTTTCAGACAGCGGACATCTTCACAAAGGCTCTCTCCGGTCCTCTTTTTCATAGCTTGTTGTCCAAGTTGGGCATTTATGATCTTCATGCTCCAACTTGAGGGGGAGTGTTAGCGTAGTATATTTGTAATTATTCGTTTTTCATGTATTGGGCCATGTACATTATGGGCCCGTAGCTAGTATACTCCGTCATGTATATATACTTCCTGTGACACATGGAAAACACAAGTTTCACGTCCAATAATTTCTACAGATTATACCATGATCTATCCTTCTCACAATCCTGTCGAACCGGAGTGTAGGGGCATCCGGGGTGGACGTTCCACCTTTTTTTGTATAGAGTATTTAGTATGGAAAAGATCTAGTGGACTAGACTAAAAGTATTTTAGATGAACACATTCAAAGATTTAATCGAGTAATTTATACTCCGTATACCATTTTTTACACATTTGATAAAATAATACAGGCACGTCATTTCTTAATTTATCAATTGAGCTTTTGATGTAATTTTCAAATATATAAATTATTATTTTTTAATTGATAGAATTTAGGATGAGCATGGACAACTAGATTGGGCAATAAGACACTTGGGTTGAATCACATTAAAAGATTGAATCCAATCGATTAGTTAGTTCAACTCAAGAATTTATATACCGATTATTTTGGGGTAAGGATAACTGGATTGGGCAATAAGACACTTGGGTTGAACCACATTAAAAGATTGAATCCAATCAATTAGTTAGTTCAACTCAAGAGCTTATATATCGATTATTTTGTTCTTGAACTTTCGATGTGGGATGACACTCTAACATTAATTCCACCTCAAATTTTAAAAAAAATTATATTAAAATTAACTTTAGTCGAATATTATCAATCGAAGCAGTGATAATATGATACGGAGTATTAAGTATAAATTTATTTTTATATCTTGCTTATTATTACACATTAACAAATTCATACTCAATTTTTACTTGCAATAACAAGATAGCCAAGGTAACCAACCGGCTCAAGCCTATTCTTTTGGAGCCGAATAGGTATATTATATAGTTAATTTTTTAATAAAAGTTTTAGGAACATAATTTTTCAAGGTAGTTATTAGGATATTTAACTATAATACTATAAATTTTTTTATGTATGTTGTTAGACAATAATATTAAGTATTCCTAGTTATGGTAGATATTGTATGTTAGTTAGTTTCCATTCTCTATTTTTAGTTGTGTTAGGAGTCTCTCCTATATATATATACTCTATCATTTACTTCATAATTCAATGAGCAATATTATTATTTCTAATATTTCAACATGGTATCAGAGCCACCGCTCTTGGTGACCAAAAAAAAGTTCTTTGCTCCCACCGCCGCCGCCGGTAATTCCGGCGACGGCAACTCCCTCCTATTCACCTCTAATTTTTTCCATCTTTTATCCTCAAATCAACTTCTCCATTCAAATGAAAAAAAAAGAAGAAAAAAACTCATGTTGAAATCACACAAAAAAACCATCAAAGGAGAAACTTCTCTCTTGTCATCTTCATTGTTCTTCGAAAAAAACTCAACTCCTCACAAACTCACTCAACTCATCATATCTTCTCAAAAAAAGAAAAAAAAGATTGTTGTTTCTCTCCAATTTACCATATCAAAATTTCAGACCCAAATCTCTCTTCCATCACCAATTCTTAACTCACTTTTCTCTCTCTCAAATCACTCATTCTAATCATCAACCTCCCTTCTCTTTCTCTTTTGTTGAACCAATAAAAATCCAAAAACAAAACAACACAAAAGCAAAGCGAAAAGGGAAAGTTGTGAAAGAGGAAAGAATACCTCTACACCCCTTCAAGAAAGAAATAGGGCATTGCCCGGATCCAAGAAAAAGACAAAGAATGTCAAAGATCTTCAGTCAAACAGGCACCTCAAGTATCATTCTCTATTCTTCTTCGACGTCAGCAGCTACACGCGCACGTCAACCTTCTCTCTTCTTCTTCTTCGACGTCAGCAGCTACCAGCACACATCAATTTCTCTGTTCTTGAACGATGTCTGCAGACTACAGCTACCAGTGCACGTCAGACTTCTCTCTTCTCCAACGACGTCAGCAGCCACCGGCGCATGTCAGACTTCTTTCTTCTCCAACGACGTCAGCAGCCACCGGCGCACGTCAGACTTATCTCTTCTCAAAGTTTCTAGTTTCCAGCTAGTGTCCAAGCTTCCTCTTGCTTCAGCCAGAGTTCAGATTGAGGGGGGATGTTAGTAGACCTGGCAAAACAGAACCGGAACCGATTACCCGAATCGAAATATCCGAAACTGAAACCGAAATGACCCGAAAAATGAAGATCCGATCTATAACCGAAAACCCGAAATGATCCGAATTGAACCGAAACCGAACTAAATAATTCATATCCGATTTAAATCCGAAACTGATTAGATCCAAAACCGATAATATCCGAACCGATTAAACCCGAAACCGATTAGATCCGAAACCGATAATACCCGAAACCGATAAAACCCGAAACCGATAAAACCCGAAACCGATTATAAAATGAGAGAAAAACTACTCAAAGATTATGAGAATAGATATAATATATTTCTGATTTCTTCTCTCTATTAACTCTTCACTTTTCCTCTTATTTTTAATGGTTACCACAATGCAGGGATTAAGCCTCTATTTATAGTGGAGAGGCTTAGTATGAATACAAATACAAGTGGGAACGACTGTACAAAATTGATACTCATTAATGGGTGTCTTAATCTACTATTCTAGAAAGTAGACCTGATTAATTGAATAAATGAACAATCATTAATTTCATAACAATTTTATATTCTTATACTTCTTATTTTTTTACTTCCTCCGTCCGGAATACAATTTTTTTTTAAAAAAAATATCATATCTAATAATAGTCTAGCTACAATAAGTTATCATATCCAAATTTCTAAAAAAAACTTATAATGCATGTAATATTATTATTAAAAGATTATAATAAATACAATTAAATTTTAATTCACAAAGATGGTAAAATAAAACAAAAAATTAAAACTTTTCCTTAAAAACTAAAAATATATTTTCTATCAAAATTATAAATTTAATTAGTCAAATAAAGTGTAAAATAATAAGATTCATAGAAGGAATTAATGAATACATCATTCCCTCGCATACCACGATATCTCCAAAAAATGAAATGTCTAACAAAGTTATTTAAGAAGAGTTAATGTATTATCTTTCATATGCACATACATGTATAATATTTATGTATTCCATCAATAATAGACATTGTGATTGGATTACTTAAAGAGTTATTCACTTATTTATTTAATGTGAGTTTTATTTTTTAATATAATACGGAGTAACATTTTTATAGCTACACTTATAATAAAAGTATGCGAGTCAGTGCGAAGCACGAGATAAAAACTAGTTGCTTCGACTCATCTTCCCCAAAAAGTGGTAACCCAATCCTAATACGATTTGAATTTATCTTTTATCTTTTTATTTATAAAGATAAAACTAATGATATTAGTGAAATTTACACTAAATAAGACTAAAACAT